ACGATCTGGTTATCTGTAAAGTGGGAAGAAAAGTGTACTTGATAAAGTTGCACAGTTATTGTAGTTTAAAATTACATTTAAAATTAATTTCTTTTTAATTAATGCTTAGAACCCCATTTATATAAACATCTGTAAAGTTGGCAGTCTCGTTTAATGGATTTATGTAAAGTAAAAAAGAATAATTTGCAAATGCAGGGTAGTGGTTCACTTCCTGCTTCTAAAACGACGGCTGTTAAAAGGAGCAGACCAACGTTTGCTGCACGTAAGTCTCGTTCAACTGAACCGCCGAGTGACACCGCAAAGAAAGAAGAACGGCCAAAACGGCCTAAAAAAGTGAATTTTTATAATTAATGTTTTTTAAACATGAATTTTTTGTTAATAGTTTTTATGGTATTCTGAAAATGTTCGTCACTTTTTTAAACTACTGTTGTGCACTATACTCATTTGTCTGCAAGTTTTTTCTTTTTTTTGAAACATCTACCGGTTTAGTTTCCATTAGATTTCTCAGTTACTTAGTTTGTTTAGTTACTGTGAAGTAATGACTCTCAAACCCCCAAAACTTGTTCGTAAAAGTCTTCTTATTATATTGCTTTCAGTTTTATTTATTAAGTATGACTTACAAAATTTGTTCATAATGATTAATTCTCTTCATTTTCAGCCTTCTGTAAGGGAGTACCAGAACTCTCCGGTACAGCAACGGCCTCCAAAAAAAACGCAACCAACTCGAACGCAGTTGCTAATGGAGCAGATAAAGGCGAGCATAGCTGCGGAGAAAAATAAGCCAAAGAAGGAAATAAAATCTCGGCTAGCTCCGTTATTGGCAGCTCCGGTTCCGAGGAAGATGACAGAGAACACACCAACAGGTAGGTTAATCGTACTTTTCAACTTCACATTTTACATATTTTAATTGATTTCTTTAATAATGTTTGAAAGAGACATTTTTTGTACTTTCTCTTTGGTGGAATTGGTAGCAGTATGGTAAGTAGTTTCAAAAAATTTATCATTTCTTCCAAAAAAGTAATTGCTGGGCACAAAATAGTGTTACTGTCTTATGTAGGGATTATTTTTAAGCTGAGATGTCAAAGTGACAGTGGTTTTTGAGAATTTAAGAAAGATTTCTGAAGGAAGAGTAGAAGCTGATAAATTATCGGCTTGCTTGGTTTTTTTCCAGTAGTTCTGTTTAAATTTAGAATAAAATTTTATTTAATTTGGAAGTCACTGTGATCAAAGCTGATAGACGATTGCCTAAGCCAAAATTTTATTTTAAGTTAATTTTTCGTTTTTCCTTTCTATTCTTATTTCTTTGTTCTTCACTGGCGTTTTATTTGGCCGAGAGAGTCACTAATTACTTTTTTTTGTTTTATAATGCATAAGATTTTATGAATCTTCTTCTTATGTCAGAATAACTTTTAACTTTTATTTTAAATAAGGAATGGTTCAATTATCTTTCTATGTCTACTACTGTCACGCGAAACTGGAAACTGTCAGCCAAATGACTTCATTTCAATAAAATCATTTGTCATATATCTTCTAAACAAAACCCAAAAGTTAGTTGGAAAGATCTGTTTGAAAAGAATCGTTGCTTAAATTATTTGTTGGTTTAAAATTAATATTAATGGGGAATCTTATGATGTAAAAAGTTCTGGTAATTGTTTGGGGAATCTTATGATGTGAAAAGTTCTGGTAATTGTTGTGTGAAGGTCGTTTGTTTGCACATCACGTCAACTTCGTTATTGTCAAACGACATTGAGTTCGGGATGTCTGGCATATCATGACTGTTAACAATGTTCACTTGTCTGATTTTGCTTCTGTCTCGCTACTCCACCGCTAATACTGTATTATCAATGGCTTCAACAAATCTTTGAATTGTAAAATTGTAGATTTTTAAAAAATCAAGATGAAATCATAGGGTCGAATGTTGAAAATACAAGACGCTTTGAGATTGGTTATTGTTTTCACATTAACTGTGACCTTCAAATTGAACATGTAACTCATTGTTTCTAAATAAAAAGAGAAATTTACTTTGCCTAAGAAACAGTCTCAAAAAAATTAGTTTGTGTTTTTTACTCTCTAACATTGTTGCTGATGACAGTGATGGAATCTATGGCAGAGTTTTGGGATACATTATGTCGGTGTTTTGAAAAATTATATAATAGTGTTTATAAGGGACAAAAAACCGATTCAGTTTCTGCCCGTGCGTGTGTAATCTTATCGCATTTTTTTTTGTTTTGTTTACATAAAAAAGTTGTTATTTATGAAAATAGTTCTTGTTTATTTTATTAAAATTTTTATAAAACGTACGGAATTTAGAAGGGAAATAGTATTTCTCAAAGGGAACTCCAATTGGTGAAGTATGATTAGAGTTATGTGTTAATAGTGACTGCACATTAGTTGCGATCTGTTAGTAAATCTTTTAAGGTCATTTAAAGTTACATTGTTTGTGAGATATTTTGGTTCAATTCAAAATCTGTTGTATTAGTATTTCATTGTAAACCAAAGTAAAAGTTTTTTAGAGAGGAAAGCGTTTAACGCATTTGCTTTTATGGCATAGAGGTAGGAGAGATAAGTTTTCAAGTCACGTTGCGTGTTTGCTTTATGATTTACATGAAAACTGTCTTGAACCTGTGGTGGAAATGAGGGTTTGGTAAAGAAATGGGAATTCTATAAAGAAGTAATGAAAATTTTTGCCAAGTTGAGATTGATGTTTTCAAATGAAGCAGGAGAAATGAAAGACTTTTGTTCCACTTAGATAAACTCATCAGCAGTTGTTTTGTTGTTGTTTTTTAATAATATAGAGTAGGGGATCAGTGCACAAAAAAAAAA